CAATTGCGACATTGCGATTCAGCACCTTTGCCCGAACGATAGCTCTATTCTCTACAGCCTCCGGGTGCTGTCTTTGGAAATCGATGATGCGCGATGTGATGAATGCCTCTGGCGAGTTGTGGAACGAGAAGCTTTCGGCAAACCCGCGCAGTGTCGAAGAGCTGCCCAGGGGAAGTTGCGGTTCTGGCTTAGGCATCGTGGAGAATGGATTTGCCTGTGAACTACAGATCGCAGTAACGCCTAACCTCATACCGCAACGGGTATCTCGGCTGCGGGGGTGTGGTGGTCGCTACGTCATCGACTTTACGCCACCGCTTGGTATCCAACGAGTCTAGACACAGCTTATCCTGGAATTTCTGAGGCTTCAAAGCTCACTGCAAACGAGATTACTTAAGGATGGATATCAAACGTCCCTATGACGAAGGAACGAAACGACCCTACCAAGACGAGGCGATACCGACCACGCATGCAACTACTTCCAAACAATCGCTTCTCCACAACGCCTACGCATACCTCTGCATTGCGCTTTTGTTCGTCAACTACTTCCTCGCGCAATACGACAAATTCATTCTATCATACTTCCAGACTTCTGTGTTAGCAGATCTCTCGTTGAGCTCGACCCAATATGGCCTTCTCTCGGGCTACGCAACAGGCATTGTCTACGCCATCCTCTCCCTACCTATAGCTTTTTTGTCGGACTATACATCTGCTCGCGTATGGGTTCTGTGCGTTACAGCGGCATGGTGGAGCTTATGCGTCATCTTCCAATCCCTAGCAAACAACTTCGGACAGTTATTCTGTGCAAGACTTGGAATGGGTATCGGACAGGCAAGTGTGGAGGCACTGTCCATCAGTCTCATCAGCGACTTGGTAGGATGGAGGAACGTGTTCATCGGAGAGAGTGTACTCTATGTTGGAGTATACATCGGCGAAGCCATCAGTGGCCAGATCGCTACTGCGTTCACGGAAACCGGCACGAGTTGGCGCATAGCTCTACGAGCCATCGGTATCACGGGATGCGTTGTGGCGGTGCTATTGAGACTCGTCCTACGGGAACCAAAGAGAAGAGAAAGCCTGGTTCAAATGCACGCGCGCCATCACAGCAACAGTATAGACGAGGATTTCGCCGATATACCACCGCACATCCAAGGCATGTCGAGGTTGAAAGCAGCAAGGTCTGATTTGCATGCTACTTTCACCTACATCCTCCGAATGAACTCCTTCTGGCTCCTCGTTCTCTCCGCCGGCTTTCGTCAATTGAGCGGCAACGTCTTCGGATACTACATGCCCAGCTATCTTGGCGATACATATCCCTCGCATACCGAAATTTTCTCACGTTACGGCATCATCGTCGGTGTCGTCGGGTCAGTCGCGGTGCTCAGTGGCGGCATCTTGACCTCGGTACTATGGCCACGTACGAAACTAACGCCTGTTTATCTGACTGGTATCGGAGGGATGATAAGCTCTCTTTTCGTTCTCCTCATGATCTTCTCGCGCGATATTGCCAATGGTTCGGAAGACCGAGGTATCAAGATTCTCTACGGCGTCATGAGTCTCGCGTACCTCACTGCGGAACTCTGGCTGGGCTGTCTCTTCGCGCTCATTGCGCTTCTTCTTCCTCCGCGCTATAAGACATTCGGTCTCGCTATCTGGGGTAGTGTGCAAGTTCTCATTTATTCTTCAGGGCCTCAGATCATCGGCCTATCGTTGATGGATGAGGAGACGACGAGTGAAAGCTACAGGAGGGTGACACAATTGTGTTTGGCAATCATCATCCCTGTCGGTTATTGGCTGGCTGGCATCGGGTTTCTTCTCTCGATACCTTTAGTGAAAAAGGACTTGAGGGAGGACTTTGCTACGGGGAGGTTGAGTCGTAGAAGGACGATTGGATTTAGCATCTTCGCAGGGGTGTTAGCAAGCGTTGTAATCACCTTGTTTGTTGTAAGCTTAGTCTATCAAGCGTAAACGTTCATAACATGTTAAGCACGGACAACCCTTCATTGCATTCTACACAGCTGTTTTCGGGGCGCAACACCATGCTTTACTTGAAAGACAAGCCCAGAAGATCTTCAACGCCTGCGTATAGTGGGCAAGCATAGTCTGCCTCAAGCAGTGGCCGAATAGTCACGCCACTGCTTCCGTCTTTGCCCAACACACCCAACTCCTTGCCAAGCGCACTACCCACTTTGGGCCATCCAACGCCACCAGCGGGGTTCTTCGCAAAGTTTGCCCAAGTCTTCTGCATGAAGGCACTGAGTTGAATCTGCTGCTGCGTCGCAGTGCCGAATTCGCTTGAAAGCGGATACGTACCAAAGACCTCAGGGATCTCAGCAGTGTGGTAGGCGCCTGGGTTGGGGAAAAGGGCAACCGAAGGAAATACGGGCGTGAACTGGTATCGATAGGTTGTGCGACCAGCTATGGCGAGGTAGTTCGCTAGCCTGGCTGTCGTACATGTGAAGACTAAATCTGTGCCGAGCCTATCGGCTAGTTCGTAGAAATCTGTGATACCCTGTGCAGCATATGCCGCAATTATGGAGTCACGAACGGCTTGGGATGTGATATTGTACTGGCTGAAGAAGTTGTTCACGGCGGTTTTACCGTCCATTACACCGGCTACTGCCAGGAAGGCACGTGCTTCGTTCAGATTCGTCCCTAGCATCGTTGGCACGTTGGCAAACTTCCCGGTGGAAATGCTGAGTCTAACATCGGGAACAGATGTGCCATCGTTGTTCACAGGTGGGAATGCGAGCGAGTTCGGCTCGATGTATGCTTTGATGTCCTCGGCGGATACGTTGCGAAGGCAAGCAATGTCTGTGCAGCCGAAATGCAGCAAGACCTGCTTGTAGTTGACTAGGCCATTTCCGGGAAGGACCGCATTCTGAGACTCAAGGATAGCTGACGAGAATGGAAGTGGGCTGGGTGGATTGGCCAGCAACTGCTTGACCGATTCGCCGCCAGCGGATTCGCCGAAGATCATCACGCGAGAAGGATCGCCGCCAAATTGTGCAATGTTGTCTTGTACCCATTGCAGTGCGAATCGCTGGTCCAAAAAGCCAGCATTTTGGGAGCCAAAGGGTATTTCGGGCGAGTTTGAGAAGCCAAAGACTAAGTTTAGGAAGTTAGTCACAGAACTTCTGGACTTGGATGACAGAGACACTCACTGTTTGTGCGGTAGTTGATGGTGACTACGACGACGTCTTCGTTGATTGCTAGAGAGCTTCCGTCGTAAAATCCCAGTCCGCCAGTTCCGAAAGCTAGGTTACCCTACACATGTCAGCATACTGTCCATTTCCACAACATAAAAGTGACTGCATACTCCAAACAACCAGAACATGACGGCCTTCTTGCTTGAAGGTGTCACACCTGGCGGTGTGTAGACATTGAGGTACAAACAATCTTCACTCTCCGCCGGCGGTGAAGAGGTAGGGTTGTTGAAGTACTCCATGGTCCTGGCACGGATATCGCCAGTACCCGAGAACTGCTGAATACATGCTGGTTTAATGTTCTGAGCCTGTAGAGGGCTAGACCAAGGCACTGCTGCTTCGGGCGGCGCGAATCGAAGAGGAGGCGATTTAGCAAAAGGAACTCCCAGGTAGGCGTTCGCTGAGGCTGTCAATGATGGCTGGTTCGAGGGCTTGGTCGCGGTTCCTATGATGACACCAGAGGCAAGCGTGACCGTTGGCCCGTTTTCAACGGGCGCTGACAGGACTGTTGACGCGAAAGCGCATAGTAAAAGCGCTTTGCTCACGGACGAAGCCATGTGAAACGCCATCGTGAAGGTAGGGGATAATTGAGAGTGTAGAGTTGAAAAGCACACAAGATTCTCGGATCTTCTACATCCATGTTGGGGAACAACTGTTATAAGTCAAGATGACAGCACGCTAGGGCGATCTGAATTGGATGCTAGTCTGTCAGCACGATGTCGGTAGTGTATATTGTGTCGGTGTTGTATGCAGATCATCGTCGGTCTTTGTTTAGCCTGAGCGGTAGTCGAGGCTACTCCAGGGTTTAAGCATCTTCGGAAGCATGATGTAGCCTATGATCGTGGAAGGAAGAACGGCCCACGACTCAAGCGAAAGCGAGAACGACAGCCTATGCCCCAGCATCCGGAGTCGTGGCTCCAGATGATCGACAAATAGCGCGTGCGACCAGATGCAAGAGTCCATTTCCCCTGCAACAGATCTGGATGCGGTCTACAAGTCGCTTCCGGTGAGTTCCTCTTGTGGTCCGACCACCAATCAGCTTTTAGACGATGCCTCGGCACTGCGCAAGCTCCCCTTCCGCCGTAGATCATCCGCACGTGCAGCCAATCGCCGCACGCGGGTACCTCGGCAGTCTTTGCAGGCATCCACCGTCATCGAGGTACTGACGCGACCGTGGCTGTCAGACACCAGATGCAATGACTTCTCCGCACCTCGTCCGTCTCACAGGATTCTCGGTAGTCGTACCGTCGCGTGGGAAGTCTCGCTATTCAATGCGGAAGTGTCGGGTTTGTCGCCGGAGTTCGTCGTGCTTTCCTTAGACGATGAGAACGCTTGCAGCTCTAGTGTCCATGCCGAACAGTGAAGTAACGGCCGATGTATATCGTTAGAACATGTGCGTGGTCTGTCCTAATCCGTGTGGTTGTCTCGTCAGAGCGATACTGCAGGAGGCCAGCTTCCCAGTGAGTGGATTGCGATCAGTGCCAAGCTGTCATTACCTAAGCAACGATCCTACCTGGGTAGCTGGAGGACTGTGCATTCTAAGTTAGTACTAAGTATAGCAGCGCATCGATGAAGATGAACAATGGGGGTCAGTATCAGAAAACTAGTGCATCACATGTCACAAGCGCTGAGATGATAGCAAGAGTATGAAGACGGAGTTGTTGATTGAATGCCGCCTGAACCTTCCAGGGTTGGAAAAGGTCCAAGCGCGTCCGTCCGCCTTCTTTGGCGACAAGAGGGAATGACGCCGAGCTGTCGGCCATCATCGATCGCGCCCCCTCGTCGCCTTCATTCGTCTCATCTCTTTACTGTTTCGATTGTCTCAACACCAATATCCTTCTCATGTTCCATACCCTTATTCCTTGCAACGACTTCTTCCTCGGTCAAAATCGGCTTGCCGCGAAGCTGCGCCCAAACAGCTTGGTGCATCGGCCTTAGGAAGAGGGCGTCCATCTCTTCAAGACTGATACCTTTTGTCTCGGGTACGAAGAAGAAACTCCAGATACCCATTGCGACTAAGATAGTGGCGAAGAAGAAGTAAGCCCCATAACCTAGATCTGAGATCATGTATGGGGTACTGCGGGCAATGATGAAGGAACCCAGCCAAGTATCCGCAGTCGTGAGCGAAACGCACAGCATACGGATGTCGAGTGGGAAGATCTCGGAAGCGTAAGTCCACGTGATCCCCTGCCACGTAGCGCAGATGATGAAGGCGTTGATGTAAACGCAGACCATAGCAAGGTAGCCCCAGCCGTTGCGTGTGACATCGCCTCTCAGAGCAGCTCCAGCTGGATCAGCCTTCATGACATAACCGCCGATGTACCACATGGGTATGCAACCGAGCGCAGCTCCCCAGATAAGGCCCTTGCGACGACCAACCTTCTCGACAACGATGAAGGTGAAGGTAAACATGCCGAGTGTCTTTGCGATACCGTAGAACCCAGTGGAGAAGAGCTTCAGCGACGTTCCAGAGATACCAAGTGTTTCGAAGATGCGAGGTGCATAGTAAGTGATGATGTTGACCTGACAGATTAGCCTCTATCGCGCTGTGCAGATGGTATATACTTACACCAGTGAAGGACTGCAGGAACATGAGCGCAAGACCAATGGCCATGCGGTTACGCACACCCTTCTGAAATAGCTTCATGAACTGTTGCTTCTTACTCTGTCGATTGGCGCTACGCCGTTCGACTTGCGCGCGGATCTCGCTCATCTCGTGCTGGATGTACGCATGTGACTCGTCGAGGCACCTAATCTTACACAAGATGCGTTCTGCGCCTTCGAAGTTGTCCTTCTTTGCGAGGTATCGAGGTGACTCAGGGCACCATGCGACACCGAGAAGCAAGAGCAGACCAGGGATGAGCTGGATCGCAAGGGGAACGATCCATTGCGTCTGGCCTTCGACGCTAATGGTCTGATCACAAGCATAGTTGATCCAGAAGCCCAGCATACCTCCACCTTGCGAAGCGATTTCGAAAATACCGACCAACCTGCCACGGATGGAAGGTGGAGCTGTTTCAGAGATGTAAACAGGCACGACCATACTTGAGGCGCCAATGCCTAGACCTGCTACGGCACGACCACCATAGATCATGTTGAGACTACCTTGAGAGGCAGTCATGAGTGTGCCGCCAAGCAGGAATACTGCGGACGCAAATATCATAGTCTTTTTTCGACCAATGCGTTCCGCAAAGGGGAAAGCGATAAGCGCTCCGAAGAAGCATCCCGCCTACGCATTGTCAGTCCGCGACGACTTGGCAACAGCTCGCTTCTGGAGACCTACCTGGAAAGTAGAAACGATGTTGCCTTGTATTGTGTCGCGATTGCTCTTTGCGATGTCGTTCATGCCAAAGTCACGAATGAAGGACTCGAGGGCCATAGTCCCGCCAATAACGGCTGTATCGTAACCCACTGTTTCGACATTAGCTTTTACACTCAGACTGATTCAGTCGTACTTACTAGCTAGCGCAGACATCGAGGCGATGAGTGCGATGAGGTGGATCCGCCAGTTGCGGACCTCTGGCGGGTCCAGAGTACCAGATGCATGAGTGTTGAAGCAACCCATATGTTGGTTTAAGATTTAGTGAAATTGATCGTAAGATTGATGGATAGAGTATGGTTTGTAGCCTGATTATGAGCATTCTGAGTGAAGGGTGTGTGTGCTCTTATGCCCGCTGCCTCGCTTTGCAGGCCTTCGTTGCCGAGCCATCCTTCATGATGCTACCTCGCCATCACTACAGTCATACCCCGCGGGGAAACTGCACGAGGACTAGCATCGTCCCATGTTTACCGCAACAGTTGCTGTTCCAAGCTATCTCTCGGATCATCGTAGCGAATCTGGGGAAGGGTCCACTTGGCAGTCGACAGGGTCAAGCCTTACCCTATGGTTGGCATCTGGGGTCGCGATATTTTATAGGCAGAGAGCTGCATGGAGGATGCACATAAGGCACTTGGCGGCCGACCGTTATCGACGGTATGGGTGGTGAAGCTTGACAGAACAGTGGACGCCGGTAGCGTGTGCGGGGTAAACTGGGTCGGGTGAAAATCTATGCCCGTGGCGGACATCCATGCCTTTTTCGACCAAACATCTGGTGACCTAGTACCTTCACCTCGACCAAGCTACCATGGAACAACACGAGCAGTAAACGAGTATACTGTCTGAAAGCGGCATGCGTCTAAGATCGAATCTTGAAATCGCGGTATGCAACATCCCCGGGGGGCCGTTTCCACGGACAACAGCCGAATGCCGCATCACAGCTGCACAGCATCAGACCATACCTGGGCATGCTCGCGCTCCGCTGGCACGTGGCAGGATGAATATTTCCGCCCCAAGATACCAAGCCCTGGCACAGGCTCTCTTGAGATGCACAAGATGACGGAGCCGCCGTATACGATAAAATTGCGGGACGGTCCATCGCACCTGGGCACGGCGGCAAGTCGCTTAGCTCGCTACTGTCAGCAGCCACAACGTGTTTGGCTGGTTATATCATGTTCTACACCTCACAAGAGTATTGGCATGTTGACTTGGACTACGCTAGGGTAAGACCGCGGCCGACAACGTATCTGACGTCTCACAAAGGCGATGTTTGTCATCCCAATGAGAAGGATGCGATATCGTGTACGAAGTGGTAATATTATGGTGCGGCGTTCGCGTCTACCTTGTCATTCTCAGGGATGTTGACGTTCTTTGTGCCAGTTTTAGCGCATGTCGAGAGTGCGGATGGAGAAGTATTGAATTAAGCTTGGGCGAGACGTCCAAGGCAGTGGTTGTGAACCTACGCGCCACCAGAGTTCAGGTGTACAGGGTTCTAGATGTTTTCAACCACTGACAATTACAGTGTTAAGAACCATGCCTAAGCACAGGTTCCACCATGCAAATTGTGCGGAGTACGGAAGTCCCAGAAAACATTTGTGGCTCTAGTAAGAACATGTGTTCAAGCATGGGTACACCGTAACACTAGACTCCAGATACCAGGAACGTTCGAGATTACGAGAAGAAGTCTATAAATCGGTATTACAGTACGATCCAATGCCATGCTGATTGTAGGAGTAATAGGACAACAAGTAGCATGACCAGGCCAAGTACTGCTGTACGACCCACATCTCTGCTGACGGTGCCCGGGAGTCTGGCCGTGCAAGCTACACCAATCAATTCCTATCCCACGCCTTCTTACTTTCACTGACAAACACTATGCCAAAAAGAACAAGGAAGAAAGCTGTTGTATCAACGATCATCCAGTATAGCAGCGACTGAAGTGCAGCCCCGTTCAAGTAATTCACATTCCACAGATCTAGCCTAAGTAGATCGTATGAGAACTGAGACTTGCCGACAGCCACCACCAATCGATAAGCCAACAGGGCCAACTTGAACAAGAAGTGGACCCAAAGCACGTGAATGCCGGCGTACATCAACTCCAGTATGTAACAAGCAGACAGGAGAACGGCCAAGTTGCAGCGAGCCCATGGACTGAGCGATGGCGACTCTCGCATGTTATGAAGGAGTTCAAGCTCCCTGCGTATGTACCACTCGCTGTTTGCAATCGCGCCTAACAAGCGTATGCAACAAAGCTTGTGCTTTGTGGGGTCTCGTTGAACAAATTGAAGCTCGTGGTTCCAATAGATACATCTCTCGGGCTGTAGTTTGGCCCACTTCGAAAAACACGCGTCGCCGACAATGTGCATGCAGGGAAGCAGCTGGATTGGGCGACAGCCTTGGGCGGAGGGTGGGATCGAAATGTTGTATGGTTCTTTGCAGATGATGCACACATCGTCTGGGGCGACGGAGACGTCGGCTAGAATGCTGTAATTCAGTCTCCACAAGAGGTCTCGGAAGAATGTTTGCGGCCTGACGGACATTGTGGTGCGGAGGCTTGGCTGTTCTGTGACTGGATTGAAGCATTCACTTTAGATCTATATGTAATCACCTCTTCGCAATATCGTTCACACTCGTGCATTGGCGCATGTCTAGAGACAAAGCGGAACTTATCGTACAAACGATGTGCGGGGAAAAACATCGACGAGATAGATATCAGCAGCAATCCCTAGCAATCAGCATTGATGTGTGAACTGTCTTAGGCCAAATGTCCATCAATTGTACGTGTGATTTCGTGGCCGCTATATCAGGAAGAAATTCGTGGTCATAGTGCGCTGTGGTGCAACCTCGAAGTCAAGGGTCGTGGTGAAAGATGGCAAATCCGACAGGATTGTGAGTGCTGCACGTGTTTTACACTAAAGCGGAAAGGCTAGTTAGTAAGCGGGGTAGCTGCCCAGGTGCAGGAGGGGCCTAGGCCCAAGCTCCTGCCGCGCCCGCCAGCTCTCCAGGTACTCTCCACGGCGCTTCCCTCGATGCTAATAACATCTGCCACACGCGCATTACGACCGCTCCGACCACTCATGACGAGCGCATACTACCTCGCAAGACCTTTGTCATCACGATCACGAAGCGCGTCACCCAAGATGGCCGACACACTATCTCTCGACGAGATCCCCACCCTCACCTTGCTCTACAAGCTAAAGAAGATCGTGCCAAGCGACGACAAGGGCCAGTCTACATATAACGCGTCGGCTACCCTCAACGACAAGATCAGCGTCATCCGACAAGACATCACAACCCTTGCCATCGACGCCATCGTCAACGCCGCGAATACTTCCCTTTTGGGTGGTGGAGGCGTGGATGGCGCAATCCATCGCGCAGCCGGGCCCGGCTTGTTAGAAGAGTGCGAGACGCTGGACGGTTGCCAGACAGGCAGTGCCAAGATCACAGGTGGCTACGAACTGCCTAGCAAGAAGGTCATCCACGCCGTTGGGCCGATATACTGGAAGGAGGGCTCGCGCTCAGCAGAACTATTATCAGGCTGCTACCGTACGAGCCTGGAGCTAGCAGTCGAGAACGGCTGCAAGAGCATCGCATTCTCAGCCTTGAGCACTGGCGTCTACGGCTACCCCAGCGGCGAGGCTAGCACAGTCGCGCTCGAGACGGTGCGCAAGTTCCTCGAAGAAGAGGGCAAGGCGGACAAGCTTGAGCGCGTCATATTCTGCAATTTCCTCCAGAAAGACGAGGACGCGTACTTCAAGAACATCCCGTAAGTCTCAGCTGTCATCAGTCTCACTTCATACACTAATGACTACCTAGTGACTACTTCCCACCAGTCGACTCCGACCCCAAGGCGCAAGAGGAACAGTCCACCGAACCCTCCGAACTCGCATCGCAACTTCCAGACGCCCCGACAGCCGACCCTAAAGATACCGATGATGCTCAACAGCCGTCTCCAAAGAAGCAGAAGACCACCGATACCGACGATGACTTTGTGGTGGTCGAGAAAGATGACGTCAAGGAGGATAAGGCGAAGCCTGAGCTATGAGATCATCACAAAATATTGGGATAATGACGGCGAAGGTTATGGGTTTTTTTATCGGCTGATGTCAGTACACATCGTGATTTGGGCATACTGGGCGTTTGATCGTTGGGCGTGGGAGGCTTATACCCTGGATACGAGTCATGAACGAGCCACATTGATTCTCATCAATTGAATAACATACACGCTCAGTCGTGTCTTTCTCTTTAAATTCCACGCTGTCCCTTGATCTGGTCGCAGACTAAGTTCTCCCGATACCATTCACTGACAGATTTGTTCACAGTACTCCAGCTGTGTGTGCTTGCACAGGTTGATGCTCAGTCATTTCACCGGAAGATACGGATTGCAGTCGAAGATAGTCAAGACTCTTTCCATCAACATTTCGCCTCTACCATAACTCGCATTACGACCGCCTTCTCGCAGAAACAATCACTACATCCCTCAGTCACCACACATCCCCTCTACAAACCATGCCGCACTTCCTTCAGCCACTCATAGCCGTCCCATTGGTACCCGCTTACAAATACAAAACAGCTTCCGTTGAAGAAGACGATGTATGCTACATCTGCCGCGAGCCCTTCTCCCTCGACGACTGCTCGCCCCTCCAGATCACTCCCTGTGGCCACATCGTGGGGGACAAGTGCTTGTACGAGTGGTTGAAACGACAGCCCGACAGATGTCCATACTGGAATCATCGTCTTCCGCATCGCCCTGCCCATGAGAGCTCCATGATTCGCACTCTGGTCGGTTCGCGTGTTGGCTCGGTATGGTTCCACGTCTTCGAACGTTACATACTTGACTTACCATGCTTGTCTATCCGCGAGGAGATTCATCGCATCATGCAGAACCCTGACTGGTATGGTGATGGAAGTGTCCAAGATTTCCATATTATCTTGTTGGTAATACGGAACGCTGTCCTTACCTGGCACTTCGGACTTGTAATGTCGCTTTTCTGGCGCTCGGCTGGCGATAAGCAGTTTAGTCGAGACCCTATAATGTTAGTGGGGAATATTCTGGTGGTGGTCATCACTTTGCTCAACATCTTGATTTTCCCGACTTTGGTAGCTATACTTGTTGACTGGTCTAAAAGGCGATCTAGAGCTAGGGCCGCAAGGACTCGACTGCGACGATGGTAAGATTGAGGCCAATAATCAAAGCCTTCGTAATCCAAGGAGTTTTCATACGGTGCGGTCGGGCCAGTGTTAGATCA